TTTTGCTGTAGTGTGTCAGTAGGAAATATCAGTTTACATTTCCAAACATTCATTTTGTGACTAATTGTAATAATCCAGTGAGATTTTTGTGCTGCACACAGAGATCTACGGTGGCCGAGAAGTGCAAAGCAAATCACAATTCTGAAAACAAAATAACAATTACAAACGCAAATGCAAGTCTACAAAACAAAATAACAATTCAGAAAGCACAATGACAAATTCGAAAACAAAATAACAAGTCAGAAAACACAATGACAAATTTGAAAACAAAATAACATTAATAACAAACCAATGATTAATCCCAAACCAATGGCGCTGTCTCAAACTATACCTACCTTTTCCGGTTTGTCTGATTTGTCGTTGTGTTTTCTGACTTGTTATAATGTTTTCTGAATTGTTGTTGTGCTTTCTGAATTGTTATTTTGTTTTTTAGAATTGCATTTGCATTTGTAATTTGTTATTTTGTTTTCAGAATTGTGATTTGCTTTGCACTTCTCGGCCACCGTAGTTATCACTGTTGCCATATTGAATAATTGTACATAGATTAATTTATTCAGTGTGAACAGCCTTAATTCAACGACTCATTCAGACCTGTTATTGAAACAAATAAAACTATATGACATTTAGCTTATAGTGGATCTTAGCAGCTAGAACAGTGTATGTTCATTATAGAAATAGCAGATTGATTGATTATAGAAATGGATTGATATACAGGGAAATTATCATTTTAAAATGCATTGATATTTCAACAATCAGTCAGTTTAAATAGAATGTATGTGATTCTAGAAATGAGCAACATCACTTTTCATGTTCAGAATGGAAGTAAACCAAAAACAACTATACAAGTCAATCCAGTTAAGCTCAGTGTATTTTTCAGCATTTTTTCATGTCCATTAATAATAAAAAAGCTTTTAGGATGTCATTCAATTAAAGTAGAAACACATGAACATAAGGCCAAATATACAAATACACTTTTTTTTGTTTTAATCTTTGAATAAAAAGGCATGAATGGGAAAAAATAACATTTATGTATCTGCTATTTTGACCATTTGTGTGTGTGTTTATTAACTATGAATTAGCCCACCACAGTATAACAAACATATAGGCCACCTAACAAAGTTTTAATAAAGCTATACTAATACAATCTATTTCCTAAAAACAACATTATGAAGTTGCGTTGCATAAAGGTTATATTGACACAAGTCCACGATTGAATGCACTTGTTTAACCAGACAGCAACGGATTTCTTAGTCTATGGCAACACTATCTGTTTACAGTCCAGCACAAATCCAGCTCACAGTGTTTATGAGGTCTGTCATCGGCAGAGATAGAGCGGGCCGTCTGGAAGGGTCGGGACGGGCGGCGTCTCAAGGGTGATTAGGGACAAACCCACAAACAGAGCGCGACTGACCAGTTCTGCCAGTTACAAACAGTAAACACTTAGCAATTCAGTTGCTCATATTCATTAAAGTCATTCAGTTGTAAATAGACAATATTATATAAGGAATACTGTACAGTCAGCCGGTCATTATGAGAAAATAAACTCCAAAGGGATGATCAAGTCTTGTGTAACCCTGAAGAAGATTTTACAGTAACATCTAAACATTATTACACTGAATATATCGCTCCTTATCAAATAAATAAACACTTGAACATTAAATGTTTACTTGAGTTTTGATTCAAGGATTTTTGTTATTCTTATTATGTGCCAGAACACTAGAACTAGAACTAGTGATAGACTGGTTAGTACCTGTTATGAAGCCCTCAGAGATGATAGTGTTCCATGAAAGGTTTAGATTTTATAGTCATAATAAAGCACACACACACAAAAAAAACCTTTTTACTTCCAGAAGCCCACACTCTTAAATATGCTCTATTTAAGTCAAGTCACTTTTCTTTTTAGAGCGCCAGTGTATGTAACAGCAGTCCATATAAGACACACCAGCAACACGCTAACACCAAGAACACACCTAACTATCCAAAACAACACGCCTTCTGTCAGTGTTTACTACTCAAACAGTTATAGCCACATATTGTTTCAGTCTAAAGTTAAACTAAAAG